CTGTGTTCCCTGTTCCTGAGATGAGGGAAGAAGGTTTGAGAATATGAGGTGGACCAAAAGAAGACTGGGGCTTTGAACATGTTGGCAATGAGATCCCCGGCTGTGGGCATTGTCATCCAGTTGGAAGTACCACAGGGTCCACTGGAGTCATCCTTGATCCTCTTGACTGAGGGAAGATCACTGATATAATTTTTGTCCTTCTACCATTTACCTATTTCCTGGGTGTCTTCATTTAGTTGGTTCTGCAGGGCAAGATGATAACGTTGTCCACTTCCCAGGAAATAAGAAACCACTTGGAAGCCGCTGTGTCTATCGGATTCAACATCAATAACTTTTGATATGTACTCAGGGCTGAAGGATTTCAGGGAGGTGGGAAATATTTTCTGGATCATGAGTTGGGGTTTTTCATTTGGTGTTCTGACAGCTCAAATGGGTCAAAATTTCTTCTTTGGAGCCTCTTCTTCTACTTTAGCTTTCTTATTCCTCTCCTGTTTTTCTTTCTTAGATTCTTCTAGTTTTGGCTTCTTCTTCTTCTGTTCTTCTTTCTTGTCTTCTTTTTTCCTTTTCTTGTCCAAGATTTCAAAAGCTGATGGATCCCTCATTGTAGTTTTGGGTTTGTTTGAGGGGACTTTGGGTCTTCCATGTCCTTTGATTTATCCTTTGGGAAGCTTGAGGTCAATGACAGTTCCAGATCCTTCAAGGAGGCTTGAGATGGCAAGTTGAATGGCTTGCTGGGATGGGTTGAGTCTGAGGAGCCTGTCCTTTATCTTCTCAACTTTCTCTTCAGGTTTGCTATTTGGATTGATTTTGAATTGGCGGAGATCCTGGTCCTGTAAAAGATGAATTTAATGGGAAATTAGTTGTGGTGATTGGTTTGGCAAAAAGAAAGGGGGGGAGGCTGCAATTTTGGAGTTCCAACACCCAAAAGCAATTTTCCGCCTCAAGATTGGTGCAGGAATTGGATATACAACTCCCATCAAATCAAATATCAATTCTTTTGGAACCAAAATTAGAGCTCTGAATCCCAGCCTCCACAACCTAAAAATAGAGAAAAACAATAAAAATAAAATACAACAAAGCATAAGACTCACCTTGATATTCCACTGTTCATGGAATTCTTTTGGCTTAACCTTCTCACTGCGCTGAATTAGTTCTAAAAGACAATGTTTATATTGAATCCCCATCCGTAAACGATGGTAACCATGACAAGTGTCTAATCTATGAAGTTGGGAGGCTTGGAAAAGTATTTTTTGGGCCCTTTCAAAGAGAAAAGTGAGTGATGAGGCCATGGCAATTGTGGAAGATCTTAGAAATATATTCGAGAGAATTAATTTTTTGCTGGTGGTAATGGGAAGAGATTTTGTGTGATTGGGCTTCAAGGGAATTGGTGATTATCTTGATGATTGCGGTGAAAGAGTGGTAAGGGCCAAGACAACTATAAGAATTGTGCTAAATTGATGAAAATAAAACCAAACTAAAAATGAAATAATGAGCATGATAATAATAGAGAAATGTCAAGAGAAAGAGAAGATCAAGATAAGAGGAGCATCTGCACCTGAGATAATAGATAGAAAGGAAGACAAGATCTAACTGAAGATAAGTGAGAAAGAAGTGATCTTAAAAATAGAAGGAGACATGACAATCAGGATGAAGTGAGGTTAATTTGACATCAAACCCAAGAGAAAAAAAAAAGAGAAAATAGTAACAAAAAATTGGGAAGGATGTTTGTTTCTGTGAAGGAGGATTAGGACTGTTTTTGTGTTTTTTTTATGATTGATGAACTCATCTTGAGGGGATGAAAGAAGATGATTAGTGATTAGCTGAAAGGATCTGAGTCTAGATGCCATACATTACAAGTCTAAGAGCTATTGCTGAGGATTGTATGATGAGACTTTTGAAGTATTTTTTTATTTAAAGTATTCTGTTTTTTCTTGAAGATTTTAACTAATGTAACCCTAAGCGGTTGCGCTTGTTTCCAAAAAAAAAACTGCAGCGGAAGCAGCAGCCTAAAGATGGAGGGGGTTACATTTTTTTTAAAAAAAAAAGCTTTGATGAATGAGTGAGCTGATTCCATTCAAGAAGTGGTGCAGTTCTCAAAGCGACAGGTTGATTTAGTATATTCATCATCATTATCTGGCTGATTCTCAAGGATTTCTAGACATTCTTCAATGGGTTTTTCATGTTGGACTGATTGAAATTGTTGATTTTCTGATTGATTGGTGTCTTGGTGGGGCTCAGGATGTTTCTCAGAAAGGTCTTTCTGGCTTGGGGATCTCTTGTTAGGGCTCTCAGGGTGGCTGGGTTCTTCACTACCAGTATTAATTTCAATTTCTATGTCAATTTCTTGATTTTTTTTTTTTCATTTTCTGATTTTTCTGGGACATTTTTGATAAATTCTTGATTGAGTTCAAGGATCATTGGTTCAATTGTGGCTTATTCTTGGGGGTCTTGTGGGTTTTGGGGGCTCTTTGGGGTGTATTTGGGAGCTTCTGGGGGGTTTGTGGTGGTTTGATTCATTGGGGAGGCAACTTGAGGGTTGTGGGACATTGAGGAGCTCATTCTGGCGGTTTTGGAAAGGTTGGGTTTGATGGATTGGTGATTTGGGAGGTTTAGGAGGGATTTTTTGGGTATGGCTGGGTGGTTAAGAGGGTCTGCACGGGTTTTTGGGGATCCTGATTGGTGTTTGTGGGTGGTGTAGGGGGGTGCTGATTGGTGGTTTGCTGGGTTTGATGGCTTTGTGTGGTGATGGGTCAGGCTGTAGTGGTTGAAGGTTGAAAAAAAAAAATGTGGGGGAGTTGACACAAGTATCCATTAGAACTTTCCTTTGACTCCCAAGGATCAAGTAGGAATTGGAGTTCTGACTCGCAAGGATCAAGTAGGAATTGGAGTTCCAACTCCCACACTTGTAATATTTTCTATATTATTTTTTTGCACAGCATCCAAACCTCAAATGGGAGCCGTATGCCGACAATATTGGAGGAACAACTCCCAAAATGAAGGTCTGGGAGTCGGACCTGCATTTCTTGGGAGCCATTTCCCCAAGCCCCCCTCCCCCCCCAAAAAGAAAAGCACTGGAAGCTGATGTAAATGGCCTTGTAGCAGAGTTTGAATGATTCATTGGATTGGTTTGGTTTGGGTCCACAATGGCAGGACATACCTTTGCTTTCACACACCCCTACAAAGCCAGAAGAGCCAGGGGAAAAATTGATGTATTCAAATGCTACAAATCTGGAGGCTTGCAGGGATATTGAAATTTTGGGTGGCATATCACCATACCAGGTGGCCTACAACCCTTGAGCTGCCCATGATATGGGCTTACAAGTGGCCCACCAAAGCAAACAGGTTTGGAGCTTTTAGGATATTTAGAATCCAAATCTATCTTGGAAAGCCTTTTTATGCTTCATTTTTTGGATTTTTGAGTTCATGCCCTACTTAATTAAGGCTTCAAAAAAAATCCCCAAATTGTTTGTGAGAAGTAAATCAGGCCATAGCCACACCATGAACCCATATTGGTATGAGATTTTGTGATGATGAAGGATGCATGGGCTGAGAGAGTAGAGGCAGGGTTATGTTATGGGGATTATTGGTTACCAAGTTGACAGCCTGTATTAACTGTTTCACAGGCTCTCACACTTAGCTTATCACTATTATTTTCTGATTTCCTTCCTCTTCTCCCCACTCATCTTTTGTGTCACCCCACCATTCCCCATTAGGTACAGCTCATTCTGCTTTCCCTTTGTTTTTAATTTTACTCAGACTTATTACACTCCTGGTGTTGATCCAGACATATTACCCTCTTTCTACTTACATTCTGGTATTTCACAGCTTTTACAACTTTTTTCCCCCCCAAAGAAAAAAAGGGGTGCAGCAAATAAGCCGCACGTAACTAAAAGATCATCAGAACCCGCAACGCTATACAGGGGGTTGCAGAATGCAAAATGCATCAAGTACCGCGTACACAGGTATCCCTAACAAAAGGAATGCGACCATCCCAGGATTCGAACCTAGAATCTCCTGCTTACACTCTTGGGGGTACCATTTTCCGGGCTAGCCATACTGGGTATTCCCCAGGAGAATCGTAGGCAGGCGCCTTGACCATTGGGCCAACTGGTGACCCAAGATTTATGAATGAGTACCATTGCAAAAAATTAACGAGCATTCCTCAGAATTAGTCCATAAAGTCAAAAACGTGCGGGAATGTAGGACAGTCAACAAACAGGAGGGCTACAAAGATAAACTCGATGAAGAAAAGACCATATTGGGTCTTAAAAGAAAAAAAAGGAAAAACCGAGGACGAGATGGGAAATGGAGCAGGACTATGAGGTATGAGGGGCAATAATAGTAATGAAGATGCTGGACAAGGAAAAGCAAGAAGGGAGAAAGGAAGGAAAGCAGGGGGATCAAGAAAGTTAATGCATAAGTTGAAAGAGGACGAATAAGCGAGTGGATAGGCAGAGAAGGATCAAGGTCCGAAGAAGCGGACTCGGACGAACAGACGGATCGAGACGCGGGTGGTCGATCTACAGCCTCATCACGATCCATCGGAGCGTTGCAAATCAGAGTAAGCAGACCGAAGAAAGACCCTCAAGACAAACCATCAAAGTCAGAAAAAAAAACTGACCAATAGGTTGACCTGAAAATTTGCAAGATATGATTGATCGACGAAGATGTTTTTTGTTTTGTTTTTTTTTTGGGGGGGGAGGGGATAAAAATTGGATATATGTACATGGTGTGGTCTTCAAGGTACAAGCCTAAACCCGAATGGATCGATCAAAATGATCGCCGGAAAAGAGTCGAGATAACCAAAATCTTGTCAGCCCATGCAGCTTTCTCTGAACGTCCAAAAAAAAAAAAACTAAGAAACACTCACAAATAAATCAGGAAATGACGATAGTAAGAAAGAAAAACTGGATAGGTAGGGCAGAGATGTGGGCAAGCCGATGAAGAGAGACGGCCTCATATCATAAACAGATCGCCGACGCAGTCGCCGCACCAGACCATATCGTCGCCCAGTTTGGAGCGGGGAATGATTTTGTGGCTCTTAGGATGATGCTGATGGTTACGAGGGGAACTCAACTCGGAACCGGAGGACTGGCTGGCGAGAGATGAGAGGTTCAAGAGTCCCAGCTCGTTTTCCATGCGGGTCTTGAGGATGTTCAGGCTCTCTTTTCGATTGTGTTTGGTCTGCTCCGACAAGTTACTCTGGTCGATCATCTTGGAGAAATTGGTGTTTGTCGCCGGTGGATGATCGCCAGATTGAGCGGAAGGTGACGAAGAAGAAGGGAGGGGCATGGCCGTCGCCGAAGCGGTAGAGGAAGATGAAGGGATTAGAGACGGGGCCAGATGGCTCGAGTTTTTCCGTTCCTTGAGGGCATCTTCAGCGCCTCTGAGTTCGTCTTGAAGATTCTCAACCCGCGTCAGCATCTCATGCGCGCGGGATTCTTCCTCGAAGATCCGACTCTCCAAGGCTCGGATCTGACTACGGGCAGTCGAGAGATCAATCTGGTGTTGTTGGATGATGGAATCGACGTAAGTTTGGTCGATCGCCGACTTTTGTCCCTCAAGAGTTTCCGCTAGCTGGACCTTCAAGCTCTCCGATTCGTGCCTGAGTTCCGAGATGGTTGAAGACTGTCTTTCCAGCAACTTCCGCAACTCGCATTCTGCTTCTTCAAGTCGCCGTACTTCTTCGGTCTTGGATTCGACAATCCGAGTCTGCTGGTCATCGGCCTGGGTTCTTATTTCTTCCTGAAGCGATTTTGCCCCCTCCAATTCCTTTGCGAGGTCTACTGCTCTCTGTTCCAAACTATCAAGACTCGCCTGATGCTCAACTTGGCAGGATTCAAACTTTGCTCGCAGGTCCTCGAGTTCCTTCATCGTGCTTGCCAGCTTCTCATCAGCGGCTTGTTGTGCCGCGAGAGCTTGCGAACTGACCTGCTGGTGTTGTTGCTTACGTTCAGCGAGCTGCGCGGAAAGATCCCTGACTTGCGCCGTCAGTTGTTCGACATGTTCTACAGATTTCTGAGTGCGCTCTTCGAACGTCTTCTCTAGTGTCTTCTTCTCTTGTTGATGCTTTGCAAGTGCCTGATTCAGCTCTGAAATCTTATTGATACTTTCGTCTTTCTCGGCTAGAGTTTCTTCGCTCTTCAGGGTCAGTTCGGTTTCAAAACGTCTCAAGACCTTTAATTCGTTATTCAGCCGTTGGATTTCGTCATCCTTGACGTGATCGTTTTTTTCAAAGGCTGACTTGGTCTGGTTAAGATCTTGTTTCACCCTATCAGCTTCATTTTTAACTTGATGGATCTTCTGTTTCAACTCTAGCACTTCCGACCTGGACTTTTCCAAAATCCGATTCTCGCCTTCTTTGCCCGCTTCCATCTCTTTGATCAGCACGTTCTTCTCCTGCTCGAGAGCATTGATTTCTTCCCGTAACTCAGAGTTTTGATGCTCGAATTGACTGATTCGCTCCTCTTGTGACTCGATCCGGTTTTTATGGGAGGAAAGTTCGGTCTGGAGTTCGGCCAATGTGGTAGTCATCTTCTCGCGGTAATTCTTAGATTCAACTTCTACGGCCTCTTTGGAACTGGCAAGCTCTTCATTCTCGGCCTTGGTCGCAGATAGTTGATTCTCCAAATCTCGACGTTCTTTGAGCCCCGTTACGAGGTCTGCCTCGGCAGTTTTTAGATTTACCGTCAGCTTGCTCAAGGATTTCTCTTGTTCAAGATTTTCAGTCTCGTAGTCCGAGATCGATTTTTGAAGTCTCTCCCGCTCTATTTCGAACTCAGTCTTCATCTCTTCTTGCGCGATTCTCGTCGATTCTAGTGAGGCTCGTAGCTGTTGAGCAGCGGATTCACTCAGGGAAAGCTCCGACTCCAACTTAGAAACCTGTTGGGCAAGGCCATCACGGGACTCTTCTGTGTTCCTTAATTTCGTCTGAGAATCGGCATTAAGCTCTTCCAACTCTTGCATCTTCGAAAGATGTTGCGATGCCTCTTGCTCGACCTCTGCTATCCGTTTGGCGTGTTGTTCAATCAGCGCATCATGACCAGCACGAGTCTCCTGAAGTTTTCCGGTCAAATTTTCGACGCTGAGCTTGGTCTCGCTAAGGAGGGTCTCAACTTCAATCACACGACCGCGCTCTTGATCCAAAGATTGTGAGAGTTGATTACATTCGGAAGTCTTGGAATCCAACCTATCTTTGGTTTCGGTTATGCGGGCATGACTCTCTTCGACTGTTTTCTTCAGCGAGCTTGATTCAGCTGTCACAGCCGAAAGCTGATTGGACATCTCTTCTTTCTGAAACTCCGCAGCTTTGAGCTGTGAAACCAAATGATTGTAGCGTTCTTCATGCGCCTGAATTTGCTGCGCTGCACCTTCTAGATTGCCTTCCATTGACTTGATTTGTTGCTGAATCTGATTCAGCTCAGTGCGGGAGTGTTGGAAACAGTTCTCGATCTCGTTCTTCTGGGTTTTCTCGAGAGACAATTCCGATGAGAGTGATTCAAGTTGTTTTTTGAGGTCTTGCTCCAGAATTGCTGAAGCTTCGAGAGATTTGTTTTTTTCGGCCAGTTGGGTGTCAATGTGAGATTGTTGATCGGCAAGCGAGTTCAGCTGCTCCTTCGACTGTTCAAGCAGGGCTTTTGTCTCTTGGAGCTGTAATAATAAACGCCCCGACTCGGATTGCTGATGCTCAAATTTTTCAGTTTGTGAGGTTAGCTGCTGCTTCAACGAAGAATGTTCTTCTTTGAGAGCGAGGACGGCTTGATCGGATTCTTTCCTGATTTTTTCGATTTGTTGTTCTAGAAGCATTTTGTCTGCCTCGAGCCGCTGCTTCTCTTCTTCGTGCGCTTGTCTTTCACTTGATAGCTCTTGCCGCATTGTCACCAGCTCATTTTCACGCTCACGGACAACCGTACGGATCTCCTCACAGCGCTCACTATATTGAACTTTTTGATTGGTGAGCTCGATTATTTTGGTTTTCAATTCCTCGAGGTTCTTCAGTAGATTATGGTTTTCTTCCTGAAGATCAGACTTGCGTTTATTAGATTGTTCAAGTTTTTGTTCGAGTTGAGTGACTGTCGAGGAAAGAGAATCATGGGAGGTTTTGAATTCGGTTAGTTGGGCTTCCAGGGAATCGGCGTGAGTTTTGAGGTTGTCGAACTTCTCTGATGAATGCTTGAGTTGATCCCGTGCTGTCGACACTTCAGCGGTCACTTGGTGATGGCTTGACTGAAGAGTATCAAATCTAGCGGTGATTTCGCGAGATTTCTCATCCGCGTCCTTCAGGCGCGCCTCAGAGATCGCGTAATCTTTTTGGAGTTGCTCGATAGCTTGCTCTTGCTCTTGCTGTTGGGCTTGTTGGGATCCTAGTTGGATTTTCATTTTTGAGAATTCACTTTCGACCGCATCGGAGTGATGTTGCTTCATTCTAAGTTTACTTTCAAGCTCTTGAATAATTTCGTCCCTGCCGCTGTTATTTGACTGACTCAATTGATCGATCTGAGTCTTGGCTTGTGCCAGTTCTATCCGAAGTCTATGAGTGGCTTCTGTGGATTCTTCCAACTCAGTTTGTGCTCGGGTTAAAGATGTACGATTCTGTTCAAGCTCTTGGGTTAGCTGTTGAGTTTTATCTGTCGATTGTTGTTCAGCGTTGAGGAGTGCATTACGCAGCTCGGAGATTTCTTTTCGATATTCTTCAGCTTGGTTTGCTAGATTGTTCTTCTCACTGACAAGTAAAGAAATTGTCTGCTGCTGAGACTCGGAAGGCTGAGAAGCCGGAGGAGATGATTTAGGCAAGATTTCAAGGTTTGGCTCCGAGGCAGAAGGCACATCCTGACCACCCAAGCTATAGGGAACATGCGCACGGGAAGCTTGAGTATCATGGATGGATGAAGCAAGACGAGTGGATCAGACTTGAGACTTACGAGTGTGAAACTGTTGGAATCGAATCAAGTTTTTTATCCTCATTGGGTTCGAAAGCATCAAGCTGATTGATGGCGGGTTCAACGGTTAGAGAGGTGACTTGGGAGGTGAGGTTGGGTTCGATGGTCGCAGTTAGGTTTGGTTCACCAGCTTTCTTTTTGGCTTGGAACTTCTTGAGCTAATCAAACAGAGCC